CTAGCCAGTTGTCCTCCCAGAAACGAATCTCTGACCCATCTTTTATCGCGAAGGATCCAAAATGGAAAAGGTGTTTCTTCACCGCCATTAGACCAACCCAAAATTATGAGTCACCAGATTTCCAATAGGCCTGTGACACATCTTTTTGGCCTAGATACTTATTGTGCGGCAGGGTTTGCCAAACGCCATCCTCATTAAGTAGTTTGAACAACCATTTACTAAGTAAGGCATCATTCTGGACCTAAAGGTCATGAATGCCAAGTCCACCTTGGTCTTTTGACCTACAAACCACACTCCATTTGGTTAGCCTGTAACTTTTCTTTTCACGGCCCCCTTGCCAAAAGAATCTGGATCTGAAATAATCCAGCCTCTGCAAGACCCCTCTTGGGAGTTGGAAAAAAGAGAGCATACAGAGAACCATATTTGTAAGGACTGAGTTGATAAGACCAATCGTCCTCCAACAGAGAGCAACTTGCCTTCCCAACTACTCAACCGTTTCTCTAAGCGCTCCTCTACATGTTTCCACTTCGCATTAGTGAGACGCCGATAATGAATCGGAATTCCCAAATATTTAATCAAAAATTGGCCTTGTGCACAACCAAATAGGTCGGCATACTTAGCCGCTGCCTCCCTGGCTTCTCCAAAGCAGAACAATTCACTTTTATGGAAGTTAATTTTAAAGGCTAACATCTGCTCAAACGCTGAAAGCAATATTTTAAGGTTTCGAGCCTTATCTAGGTCATGTTCCATAAAAAGAATTGTATCATCAACATATTGCAGAATAGAGAGGCCACCATCCACAAGGTGGGGCACTACTCCTGCAATTTGACCGTCCTGCTTGGCACGATCAATCAGAATAGACAAAATGTCAGCCACGATGTTAAATAACATTGGAGACATGAAGTCACCCTGTCGTAGTCCTTTTTTTGTCTTAAAGTAATGGCCTATATCATCATTGACTTTGACAGTCACACTACCTCCAATAACAAAATTTTGGATCCACTCGCGCCATTTATCGGAGAATCCTTTCATTCTTAGGGCCTGTTGAAGGAACGACCATTTGACCTTATCATAGGCCTTTTTGAAGCCATCTTGAAAACTACTCCACTCATAGGTCTTAGATGTATCTAGATACGCATGTACCTAATACTAAAACATGACTTCATACATCTGTATTTAGACAAATCTAAGACAAGAATTTTGGGATGGAGGGAGTATATAATACAAAAGGACTCCTATGTTTTATATCAGAGATAGTAATCCCGCAATTTTTTTTATCAGAGATAGTAGTTTCTTTTCCCTTTGGAGGGAGGATAGGACGTAATAGTTAGTTAACCATAATTAGAATATCCTCCTAACATGTTTGGTGACAGTGCAATGGATTATGATTTTGTTGCAAACTAACCTCGTGGTGGAATTTTCCGCCTGGGTTCAAGTCTTAGACTTGTATTGATGTAATGATGTTTGCATTTTTCCTCGATTTATTTTAAGATGTAACTATTTTTTAAGTGATGTAGGTTATGTGCTCATCGACAGCGAGACACATGTGGTAACTTCATCAATCTCAAGTCTAACCGCCGGCTCACTACCGAGGAGGTGCTCATAGAGGTAGTATGAGGTAGAGCGTGCGCGCGTTTATAGGATATGTTTCTGTATATATTTGTGAGTGTCTGTGTTTTGCAAAAGAGAAAAGTTATCCATTCAAAAATCATTTATTTTGTTGTTCGTTTAACCAAGGCATCTCTAGCTTCGTGGCAATTTTTCACAACTTATAAAATAAGCACGCCATAGCACAGTCAAACAATTCAACGACTACATCCCAAGCCTTAGTGCGTCCACTAGATGTTGAACCGCTTTTTGATTTCGGCTTGCATGATTATGACTTGTCCCTATTGTACTTTCTCTGCATCAAAACACAAGACGTTTTCTCATTTTGCATAGAGCATAAAAACCATCTTACATTTTACTACGGAGGGAGTAGTTTTTGTCTTTGGGATAAATCAAATAAGGGCCAACTATGTTTTTTCTTTTTTCTCGAAAAAAGGGACTCCCCGACCTCTGCATCAAAAAGATGCATACGGCCAACTTATATAAATAGGCAAATAGATTCAACAAAGGTCTTACAATCTGAACGACATGAAAAAAAAAGCTCACAGAGAGCACAACAAAGTAAGCAACCATGATGCCACAACCGGGCTGGCAAAAGAAAGATAGGAAAACTAATTGACTATCCTATTACATGACCGCCATCCAAACCGGTCGAAAATAGCCCAAGCTATCATCTCCCACCGGATAGATCCAGTAACCAAATGCTCCCTGGCCTCCGCCGAAGTTAGTAGCGACCACATACGGATCAACGCAGTGGCCCGAAAGATAACCTGCAAAAAATGAATATTTGTTGATCTATTAAAAACCAAATCATTCCTGCAGTTCCAAAGGGCCAACTATGTACTTTAGCATCAAGATGATGATAGCTACCTCGATGGCGTTTTTCTCCTCGACAGCATGTGTGCATTTTTGTGTGAGTTGCCAGGTTGCCTGAATGTGCCTTTGTTTTCGGGACGTGTTGTGACAATTTTTGCTCGGTTTTTCATTAATTAATTAACTAGGCAACTCTCTTCTTCTCTTCAAATGAATCGAGATTCACAAGGCCAACTTAAAAAAACAATTCGTGGCACAATTATCTGCCAGTAAATAACCAATCACAACAGCACGAGTTGGAGGGATGGCGCTGATGGTGGAGCTTGATGGAACGCATGCATCTCACATGAAAGGACATACTTGCCCCAAAGAGGGTGTTTTGTTGGGAGTAATTAGAGCTAGAGCATAAGACTTGAAGGGGTACACGAATTTAAATCTATTGTTTAGTTAGGGGATCAGGAATTGAGAAGGGATTAGAAATGAGAATTCATATCCCAACTCCCACCATTTTATTTACATGTGACGGGGTGGGAGTTGGAAATGAATTGTTTTAGTAAGTCCATCTTAACTTTTCACCATAACTTTACGTTATCTTCTGTTATCTAGCCCCGCATCAATTATGACAAACCAAACAAGGGAATTAAGTTTTGGCGCAAATCTCGACACATAATTTCTATCATGCGTCAATAAAACGACTCATCTCATGTCTAAACTCAATACAACTCCTTAATCTAAACTCACATTTTTCTTTCAATATTGCCAAACACACTGTTGGTGATTTTGGTGTTAATGACAACATGATTAGTGACGTCATTATGTGCTTGAGTATGTAAACAATGTATTGGATCATTCGAAGGCAAACAAGTATGGTGGAAGGCCCCCATTCATAAAGTGAAAAGAGACCCATCCCGATGATTTTTGACTTGTTTGGGTCATTAAGAAAGCCGTACTGTCATGCACTTTGGAGTAAGAGGTGGGAATCAACTCACTTACACACATACTCCCTCTGTCCATATCTAGACAAATCTAAGACAAGAATTTTAGGACGGAGGGAGTATGTTGCATCAACAAAACTCATCCAGAGTCAAGAGAGCTATTATATAAATCCTCTGCTTTGTAGCTATTATTTGTACCCTGGAATCTCTACTCTCTAGGGCCTGGAACATCCGGCCAGCCTTCGGGTTGTCCCGAAGCTTGCAAATCCCAAGTTGCAACTCTCTAGGGCCTGGAACATCCGGACTACCTTTGGCCAGCCTCTGGGTTATTCAGAATTATGCAACTCCAGAGTTGTAGCTCTTTAAGAAGACTAGAGCTTGTCTAGAACCTCTGCAGCAACTCAGAGCCTCCGAGGCATGCAAACTGTATGTGTAAAGGTTGGATTTTTAGGGCCACATATATAAGTCCACCTCTATCCCACGAGGAAGGTGACGACTTCATTCATCTCTCCTCTATTTTTTGGAGATCTCCGTCCCTAGCAAACCAATGTTGGCCAAACTTTAGGGGGAGATCCGGATCCACACTTTCACAAAAGCGAAAGTTGAATCCCCTTGAATCCTCAGTAGATCCTACTCAGAGATCCAAAGACGGTATCAAGCTTTACTCATAGTGCACCATTTTTGTAAGGATCTGTGTAACTTTTTTTGTTTTCAAATAACGCTCCAGTAAGGATTGCTGTACTTTTAGTATATGGCCTTTGCCCTTTTCACAAGAAAGAAACTTCGGACTTGGAAGTCAACAACTGGCTGCTACTAGTGGGCAGTGGCTGCCAAGCGCTAAACATGGAGGGAGAAAAAGCGACACTTTAACAGAAAATCATGTTTTGTACAATACTTTAGCTAGTCTATCCTATGGAGCCCTGTGCGCCAAGCCGCCAGCCAGTGGATTACAAAAATGTACAACATAGAACATACTCATTGTCAGACACCCCGGCTGCTATTTTGATTGTACAAGTCAAGAATCACCAATAGTGTGTGACACACTAGCACACATCATGGAGGGCTTCTAGTAATAACTACTCCCTCCGTCCCATAATGTAAGACGTTCTTTGACACTATGGGACAGATGGGACAGAGGGAGTAGTAACTTTTGTCCCTTCTCACATGATGTGGGAACCAGGTCCATTTTACAATCTGAAACTGCACACCCATATGGTTAATCATCCAAAAGATTTTTGTCAGTGAGGATTGTGATTGGGAGCATGAATAGTGAATTCATTATTCAACAGCTCCGACGACTGTGATGTGCCTATTTTTTTTTCCACGCACCTACAAACAGCCCAAAATATCTAATTTGACGCCACCCCATCCTTCTAGTCATCTTCATTTTCGTCAGCTCGGCCGGCTGCTTCTTCATTTTCTTCATCTTGTTCTCGAGTGAGTTATATAAACAGCAAACTTGAGTAACCCCTGAAAGAGCTGAGCATTTCAGGTTCAGGTGTTTTCTCTCCTCCTCTTGTGTAGGTGGTTCTCGGTGCATAGATGCTTGGTTTCTTTTAAGTTTGAGGAAAATTCCGTTATTCCAGTTGTTGATTTCATGTGTATTTATTCCAATGAAATTAACTCCTTCATCGGTTTCTGAAGATGGGAAGTTCAGAGCCAGAACGAGCAGAGGTATCTTCTGAAACATCAATTCCATTTCTTTGGCTCCCCCTTAATCTGGTGCAATTACTCGACTGAATGTACTTTTCAAGTGGAGCTCAATGTTCTTCTGCCTCTAGGATTTTCAACTTGTGATCAATTGTTTTCTTGGATGATTTTCTAATTAAGATGCCGCTGATTGTTTCAACCTGTTACTCCGTACATCTTATATGCTGTGAGCAAGTAAAACTGGTCTGACATGGTTGTTCTTACTTCAGGCACACTTGCTCGTCGACTGTGCTCAGCCACCAGCAAGAACTTGGCAGAGAAAATTCGATGATGAAGGCAAGAAGGTTGCTGCGTTTAGCATGACTATGAATGATCTCATGACAATGGTAAGTAAGCATATGAACAGGGACTGCGGCTTTTGGCTTTCACATTTAGAACCAAGAAAGCATGGCTATGAATGATGCCATGGCAATTGTAAGTAAGCATATGAACACTGACCATTGCTACATAAACACTGACCATGACCCTGGTTGTGCTGCAGGTGCCCTTTATCGCTAAAATGCTTCGACTATACGTCCAAGAAAGCGCGAAAGGCCAAGTGAGTCACTCTTCTGTCATTTAACATTCAGCTAATCTGTCAACGAGCATGCACCTGCTGTTGAAATTGTCGATGCAAATTACTCTGCCTAGTCAGTACTCAGTAATCAGTGAAATTGCTAAACAATCATTATCTTGTTTTTTTTTTTTTGCCAAGGCTTCGGTCTATGATCCTTTCAGGAAGTGGATGGACAACTGCTACCGTGGGGTACCCCTCGGCGCACTAGGGCAAGTACTTCCGTTGTTTCTGGCCTTGGTTTTGCCCTGAAACTTGCCGGTTGTCACATTCATGCAGCTACCTGAACTTCAGATGACACTTCTATTCAAAGCACGTTCTCTTCTTCTTTTTTCAGTTCAGGAAGCATAGGGAGAAGCTACAGAGGGTACTTTCAGCATTTTCAAATATTCCCCAGGGTGTACGAAGAGAAGCCTATCCTAGCCAACCAGTTCTCTGTAATAAATTTACACTTTCTTCCTTGACATGCAATGCTCAATTAGCTGTGGAAAAACGTCTCATGTTTAACTGTATTTACTTGTCTAGGCATTCGTTTCGCGTCCCAGCGGGAAGAGCTACTCCACGGTGTTGTCCGCACCGAATGCCGATGTCCTGAAGTAAGCAGTGAAAGCATCACAAGCTCACCTGCATTTCATTCATCTGATTATGACAGCCAGAAATACCCTTTACTGGTTCTAAAGAAAAAGAAAAAGAAAAAAGAAATACCCTTTACTGTGCAAATTTGCAGGGGAATAGATAAAGCCGGTATCGGATCTTGGGACTGGAAACTGAAAGAGAAGAATTGCACCTACCATGGCTTGTTCCCAAGATCCTGGACTGTATATGATGGTACAATCCTGACTGACAGTACATCATTGCCAATTTACCTGACAGAGATGTTTGTCGCCAGGAACGATTAGTTTTGTCTGGCAGAACCTTCTAATTTATCTTCCATAATTGCAATGTAGGTGAGCCTGACCCTGAAATCAAGATCACCTGCCGTCAGATATCACCCTTCATCCCTCACAACTACAAAGAGAGCAGCTTCCCGGTTGCGGTTTTCACCTTTACGGTACATTTCCTTCTTCAGAAAACTAATCCAATCATCCAACATTAGTTGTTGTTCAGCATAAAAACTTTGATGCTTGCACCAGGTACAAAATTCAGGGAGCACACCTGCAGATGTCACATTGCTCTTCACGTGGGCAGTAAGTGCAAGCCAACACTCTGCTCTTCACTACTGACACAAGTACACAACATGTCTGTACTTCGCAGCAAGTATTTGGCCCTAATTTCCTTGTTCATCCGTGTAGAATTCCGTGGGCGGAAAATCGGAACTGACCGGAAATCACACCAACTCCAGGATGAAGTAACGACCACGACAGATTCGTCTGATGCGATGTGGTAACAGGCAGCAAATCTCTCTGACAATGAGAACGTCTTCCTTTCCTTGGTGCGTGCAGAGCGCGAGACGGCGTCCATGGCGTCCTCCTCCACCACAGGACGGCGGACGGGCACCCTCCGGTGACATTCGCGATCGCGTCTCAGGAGACCGGCGGCGTCCGCGTAACCTGCTGCCCGTCCTTCGCGATGGGCCCGTCCGTTCCCGGCGGCGAGCAGTTCACGGCCAAGGACATGTGGGAGGAGGCCAAGAACCGCGGGTCCTTCGGCGGGGCGCCGAGAACGTCGGCGTCGTCGAGACCTGGATCGTCCATCGGGGCGGCGGTCGCGGCGGCGACGACGGTGCCGGCGGGAGGCACGCGTGCGGTGTCGTTCGCGCTCTCGTGGTCGTGTCCCGAGGTGAAGTTCCCAGCCGGGAGAACCTACCACCGGAGGTACACCAAGTTCCTCGGCCTGGATCGGGACGCGGCTGCTGAACAATTGGCCCACGACGCCCTCCTCGGTGAGATTTCCATGGATCATTGGTCGGTGAAGATTTCTGAAATCCCTCTCAAGATTGAGATTTCTGAAAGCTTTCTTATGCTTGCATGTACTAGAACACATGAAGTGGGAGTCCCTGATCGAGGAGTGGCAGAGGCCTGTTCTGCATGACAAGAGGTTGCCTGAATGGTAGGAAATTCAGATCAACCTCAGGGTCAATCACTCATATGATTTCCATTAAACTGACTAATTATTGAACTGACCACTGACAATTTCTTTACTGACTTGCATCATTAGACAAAGAAAATGTATCTACTTGATCATGATTTGGGTTCTAGATCAGGTGGTGACACGATTGTTTTTCAGGTATCCGGTTGCGCTGTTCAACGAGCTTTACTATCTCAACGCTGGAGGCACAATTTGGACAGGCAATGAACACTGATCCGATTGAACTCTCAGGTCACATGTTTATCTTGGACAATGGCCCAAAATCTTAACTTTTCATTGTCACAGATGGGCTGCCTCCGAAGAAGACCAGCTTTGCTTCCTCAAATTCAAAGTACGGGTCGACGACGACGGAGTCCTTCTCTCTCGACGGGTTCCATCCAGGCGATCCTGCAGCGGACGGCATCCTGCGCGCAATGGCGACGGCGGAGGAGCGGCTGGAAGCATCGTCGGCGTTCGGCACGGCCCTGCTCGGCGACGGCGAGGAGAGCGTGGGGCGGTTCCTGTACCTGGAGGGGATGGAGTACCACCTGTGGAACACCTACGACGTCCACTTCTACGCCTCCTTCGCGCTGCTCTCCCTCTTCCCGGAGCTCGAGCTGAGCCTCCAGCGCGACTTCGCCAGGGCCGTCCTCCACCACGACCCGCGCCCCATGCGCACCCTCGACGGCGCCACCGTCCCCCGCAAGGTCCTCGGCGCCGTGCCGCACGACGTCGGCCTGCGCGACCCCTGGTTCCAGCTCAACGCCTACATGATCCACGACCCGGCGCGCTGGAAGGACCTCAACCCCAAGTTCGTCCTCCAGGTGTACCGCGACGTCGCCGCCACCGGGGACGCCGCGTTCGCGACGGCCGTGTGGCCCGCGGTGTACCTGGCCATGGCGTACATGCACCAGTTCGACCGTGACGGGGACGGCATGGTGGAGAACGAGGGCCGCCCCGACCAGACGTACGATTTTTGGTCAGTCTCCGGCGTCAGCGCCTACACCGGCGGTCTCTGGGTCGCGGCCCTCCAGGCGGCGGCCGCCATGGCGCGCGTCGTCGGCGACCACGGCTCGGAGGGGTACTTCCTCGAGCGGTACGGAAGGGCGCGGCGCGTGTACGACGGCGAGCTCTGGAACGGCGCCTACTTCGACTACGACAACAGCGGCGGCGCGACCAGCAAGTCCATAATGGCCGACCAGCTCGCCGGGCAGTGGTACGCGCGCGCGTGCGGGCTGGAGCCGATCGTGGAGGAGGATAAAGCACGCAGCGCGCTGGGGACGGTGCTGGACTACAACGTGATGCGGGTGCAGGGCGGCGCGGTGGGGGGCGTGAACGGGATGCGGCCGGACGGCGCCGTGGACACGTCCTCCATACAGTCGAGGGAGGTGTGGCCCGGGGTCACCTACGCCGTGGCCGCCGCCATGGTCCACGAGGGCATGCCGGAGGCGGCGTTCCGGACGGCGAAGGGCGCGCACGACGCTGGGTGGGGCAGGGACGGGTTCGGGTACGCGTTCCAGATGCCGGAGGCGTGGACGGCCGACGGCGGCAGCGGGTACCGGTCGCTACACTACATGCGGCCTCTCTGCATCTGGGCGATGCAGTGGGCGCTGTCGCCGCCGGAGCTCCACAGGGACGTCAGGGTGTTGCCGGGTTCGGTGTCCGCCGTGGCGTCGCCGGCGGAGGTGGTCCTGGCGCGGGAGAAGTTCGAGAAGGTGGCCGGCATGCTGAGGCTGCCGGAGGAAGAGCAGCACAAGGGATATCTCAGAGCTATGTACCAAATTCTCCGCCAGATGCTGCTCCCGGCATCCTGATTCGAACTTCCAACTTCACAAACGATTCTATATGATGCCTTGTGGCGCCGATTGCCTCTCATATCTCTCCGGCGACCGTTAATTTTCTGCGGTGTGATCTGTCGCAAAAGATTCAGAGCAAAGTGCACTGTAGTTCAGTGAGTAAAGGGCACTGTAGGTCATTGAATTCTTAAAATCGTCTTCTGAGTCCCGAAGTGCAGATGTCATGTACTCCCTCCCTTTCAAAATAGATGACCCAACTTTATATTAACTTTGTATTAAAGTTAGTATAAAGTTGAGTCATCTATTTTAGAACGGAGGAAGTAAGGCACAATATCTCTACTATTAAAGGAGAATCGAACGTCGTGATGGTTCGACCTCGCTTCCCCTCCCCCCTATCGATAGCTACCTCGCACATCCCGCACGATTTTCTTTTTTCTTTTTTTTCTTTCGAGGCTTCCCACGCGAGCATGACCCACCAAGCCTTCGATCCTGAGAAACGGAACTGTGACCCACGAACTCACCCATGCCCCCGTCTCTCGCAACCCCTCCATCCCTATCGCATCTTTCTCCTTTGAAAAATCGCCGGTCTAGATCCTGATCCGTCGCGAGGAGCCGTCCCTCAAACTGCAGCACCGCGGCCGAGCCATCTCACAAGGAGGCAAGACGCCGTCTCACCTCCTCGCCTTGCTGCGGCCAACCTGGACGCGCTGCTGAGCTATCTCACCTGCCGCCGCCGTCCCCATTCTCCAAGCAGGCAAGCCGCCGTCTCACCTCCTCGCCTTGCTGCGGCCAACCTAGACGCGCTGCTGAGCTATCTCACCTGCCGCCGCCGTCCCCATTCTCCAAGCAGGCAAGCCGCCGTCTCACCTCCTCCGTCCCGGACGCGCTACTGCCGCAATCGACCCATCTCACTTTGCGTCGTCGTGGCCAAACAGGCAAGCCGTTGTCTCACGTCCACCCTCGTCTCTATTGCGGGCGGCCCTGCCCCTGTACAGGAGCAGAGGAAGCAGGCGTGCAGGCAGGAGCTGGAGGCTGCGCGGCTGTGTTTGCCGGCAGGATGCACAGGAGGCGGGTGGCCATGGAGAACAGCCACACTATTCAAGCGCCGGACTCTGCTGTCGACCTCCTCATCTTCAGGCCCCTCCCATTTTCCTCTCCCTACTGCCAGTTCCCCCCATCTCCTCCGCAACGTGCTGCTCCATGCATTGGCAGCTAAAGGTATCGAGTGTGGCATCTATCTCCCTCCCAACTCCTTTGTGTTCTCTATCTTTCAAGAGAATGTGAGATATTTAATGCTATTTGTGGAGAGTGTGTCGTAATGTTGAGTTATTGTGCACATTTTTTTGCTACCGTGTACAATAGTTTTTACAGGATGTGCTATTGTCGATTCTGCAGAAATATTTGTGCTATTTTGTAGATTTGTGCTGTCGTGGATTGTGCTTCTTTTTCTTATTAAATGATGTAGTTTAAAACAAGATCATGCCTAAATCAGTTTGCCCATGGAAGTGCAGCCCTAGCGATGGATTCGAACACCGGCAGCCATGTGAGCGCCCATGGCTGTGGACGTGGATGCTTGCCACGAGAGACGCAGAGAAGGAGCACACTGCTTGCCCTTTATTGAGTTGACCATGGTGACGCTCCGGTGGTGTTGTCCTTGCTAGGTCTGCACGCCAATGGTGTTGTAAATTGTAGTGATAGATGTATTGACACTAATTGTTTTGCAGATGGGGAGGATATACATTGTAAAAGAGCCTTATTTTGTTCATATCTAGGACATGAGAATTTAATTCTCACTTGTTTAAATTACTGGTTCGTATTTCCGTTAGGCAAAGTGGCTTGAAATAGACTGTCTTTACTCTTTCTATAAGACATAGGGCCGCAATTTTTTTTTAAAAAAGAGGATCCAGCCAATTTGTTTTTCATTTTGTCCTTGAGATAATAATATATTATATGCTCTACTGAGTCATCTTCACACTACATGTTGTTTCAGCTAATGGTTATCACCGAGGTCCTGCTGCTAGCTATGCAATCCCATGATGGTCAGATACGAAATGTTGTAGAATGAAATATCCAACACTTTGAGGAGTAGGGTTTTTCTGTTTCTGCAAGCAGTTCATCTTCTTCATTAGAGACCGTAAAGGTAATTTCTCAATAGTACGCTTCTGTGTATTCATCAATGAGTTGAGTTGATGGTTAGAATTTGGGAAACATGTGAAGCTTCAAGAACAAAATTTAAATTTGGTTACTTAAGTTCTGGAGCAACCAAGTTTACCATTCACTTAATATAGAGTAGAAGCTAATATCTCAAGAAATATGTTTTCACTCTATATTGACACTTGACAGTAGGAATGGTATGAATAACATAGCAACTTCTTTTACCGGAAAAGGCTTTCACCCCGCTTTATATATAAAGCAGCAACCAACCATAATCTGATACAAACACACGCCACCACAACTCACACACACACCCAAGGCTAGATACATAGGCACGAGATGTAGCAACACCACACCCAGCCACTACAAGAGCTACCGGGATCCTCAACCGTGAACATGCCACCGCGAAGAGATGTAGCTGCAGATGATGAACCGTGAGCTCCAAGGCGGCGCCTTATAGAAGGTTACAACACTTGAGTGCCGCCACCGCCCAAACCGAGGGTCAGGGTTTCCCCTGGAGCAACACGACGGGAAATGAGGACCGCGACAGCGCCTTCGAGAAGGGGACAAACTCGCCGCCACCGGACTGCCCAAAGACAGAGTAGGTTTTCACCCCGGTCCACGCTCACTGCCCCTGGCAAAGGTACAGAAGCCGCACCACCACCACCGATCGTATCCCCCCAGCCACCACGCCACCCACACGGCCATGGCCACTGGGCAGCACGTGAGCCACGGCCTCCGCTCGCGAGCACCGGGCTTCCACCACCAGAGTCGCCGCCCTGGCATCCAAGACCACCCCACCTCCTTCCACACGAACCACCAGACGCTGCTGTCAGAAAGGCTAGCCCTTTGGGCGAGAATGGGACCCAGCCGGCAGAAACATGACAGGGGAAAGCCGCCGGCGGTTGCCGGGCATGCCGCAGCCACCTCGCCATTTCTCGAACGGGGGCCGGGCCGCCGTCGCCACCCATGGCAACAACAAAAACCGGAGGCACCCCTGCCAACCCCCGAAGAGCCCCAACCACCGTGGCCAGCCAAAGACGAGGAGCGTCGAGCCACCGTGCTCCACCCTCCGGCCGCGCCTCCGATCACAGCTCCAAGCACCCCAAGCATCAGGAGAGGGGGCCAAACCGCCGCTACTGCGCCGCCACCCCAACCAGCCGACATGGCCCCGGTCGAGGCAGCCGCCCGCAGCCCAAGCCTTCCGAGGCCCGCACCGCTGAGAAGTCAGATCTGGCCGAGCCGCCGCCAAAGTCGCAGCCGCCGTGCCCGACCACTAGCACGCACCACCATCTCCCACCTCCACCAGGCAGGAAGGACCCGACTGTTGGGGAACGTTGCAGAAAACAAAAAATTTCCTACTCGTTTCACCAAGATCATCTAGGAGTTCATCTAGCAACGAGTGATTAGATGCATCTACATACCTTTGTAGATCGCGCACGGAAGCGTTCAAAAGAACGGTGATGATGTAGTCGTACTCGACGTGATCCAAATCACCGATGACCAGCGCCGAACGGACGGCACCTCCGCGTTCAACACACGTACGGGACGTGAGACGTCTCCTCCTTCTTGATCCAGCAAGGGGGAAGGAGAGGTTGATGAAGATCCAGCAGCACGACGGTGTGGTGGTGGATGCAGGGCGTCACAGCAGCAGGGCTTCGCCGAGACTACGAGGGAGAGACGTAACGGGGGGAGGTGGAGGCGCCAGGGGCTGGTGTAAAATCCCTCCTCTCCCCCTCACTATATATAGGGGTGCCAGGGGGGGCGCCGGCCCTAGTAGATGGCATCTACTAGGGGGGGCGGCGGCCAAGGGGAGGTTTCCCTCCTCCCCAAGGCACCTAGGGGTGCCTTCCACCACATGGACTCTTCCATGGTGGAAACCCTAGGCGCATGGGCCTATAGGGGCTGGTGCCCTTGGCCCATCTAGGCCAAGGCGCACCCCCTACAGCCCATGTGGCCCCCCGGGACAGGTGGCCCCACCCGGTGGACCCCCGAGACCCTTCCGGTGGTCCCGGCACAATACCGATAACCCCGAAACTTGTCTCGATGCCCGAAATAGCACTTCCTATATATAATTCTTTACCTCCGGACCATTCCGGAACTCCTCGTGACGTCCGGGATCTCATCCGGGACTCCGAACAACATTCGGGTTTCTGCATATACATATCTTCATAACCCTAGCGTCACCGAACCTTAAGTGTGTAGACCCTACGGGTTCGGGAGACAAGCAGACATGACCGAGACGACTCTCCGGTCAATAACCAACAGCGGGATCTGGATACCCATGTTGGCTCCCACATGCTCCACGATGATCTCATCGGATGAACCACGATGTCGAGGATTCAATCAATCCCGTACGCTATTCCCTTTGTCTATCGATATGTTACTTGCCCGAGATTCGATCGTCGGTATCCCAATACCTTGTTCAATCTCGTTACCGGCAAGTCACTTTACTCGTACCGTAATGCATGATCCCGTGACCAGACACTTGGTCACTCTGAGCTCATTATGATGATGCATTACCGAGTGGGCCCAGTGATACCTCTCCGTCATACGGAGTGACAAATCTCAGTCTTGATCCATGTCACCCAACAGACACTTTCGGAGATACCCGTAGTCTACCTTTATAGTCACCCAGTTACGTTGTGACGTTTGGCATACCCAAAGCACTCCTACGGTATCCGGGAGTTACACGATCTCATGGTCTAAGGAAAAGATACTTTGACATTGGAAAACTCTAGCAAACAAACTATACGATCTTGTGCTATGTTTAGGATTGGGTCTTGTCCATCACATCATTCTCCCAATGATGTGATCTCATTACCAATGACATCCAGTGTCCATAGTCAGGAAACCATGACTAT